TGATGCGGAGCGGATATAATCGGTTCGCTCCAACTTTCTTGCGTATTTTTGCTTTTGTTCATCGGCCTGTGATAACATCCCCCTCCCCCTATGTCGACTTAGGCTGCTGTTCTGTTCGTTTCCTGCCCGTTTATAACCAACGCTCGTTTGAATGTTGTGGGCGTCCCACTTTCCAATGCCCCCTCATCATGCTCTCGGAAATTCTGCTGGGTATCTCCCTCTTTTTATGTCATTATTCTTGTTGACTCATGCTTCTTCAGGAAAGCCATTCGTCGCACTGCCTGTATCACCACCAGCGGCAAAACCCCAAAGTATGTATGGTCCCTCCCAGTTTCGTGCTTCATCATTCATTTTATCTTGTTTTCATTCAGGAAACTCGCTTCAACTACTGAAGACACTTCTTCTCCTGGTGCAGACACCGACACTGTATCTGAAACTCAGTATGTTATCCTTGCATTTTGCGTTTATACGTTTAATTATTGATTGTGTATCTTTTTTCCGTCTGCTGTTCAGAATCGAATGGGAAGCCACTCCGCCTCCTGAGTCTGTTAAAAGGCCTCTCGAATCTCCGTCAAGCTCAGACACTTTAGACGACAAGGACGGCTCTAACCAGTATGTCGTGATTTGATTATTCTTATTATCCCATTCGTTTCCGTTAACAGTTGTACTGTGTAGAGTTTCGTCAAAGCGCATATGTCTTGATGTCGAGTCCACCAACGGCTATCGCCAGCTGGTTACGGATGGATATAAAGGGTCAATTATTCCACTATATGCTATTTGTTTAACTGACTCTAATGTGTTTAACCAGTGCCATAACGGACAATGTTCCTGGAGCCCCTTCGCCTTCCGGCATTGTTACTGGAGACCATACGATGTCTGCTGCACGCTATGGACCTGCCCCAACCACTCAGTGCACTCTAGATACTCGCTACACTCGCCCTGCTTCCACCACACGAGTTCCCGACGAACCTGACTTCAGGCCGATTCCAGCCATTACAAATGAACAGTACAGGTCTGTATTGTTTTCTTTATTTTATTCATTAGTCGCTGATAGGGCTGCCGAACTAACACACTATAAATGTATATATAGGAAAGTGTATAAGAAACCGCTATAACCAGCAGAATCTATATCACAACCCAACTAACACACCAACAATGCCTTTCGATAGCTGTTTTTATTGTAGGAGTCAGACGGCCAAGTATTAGGTGCGAAAGATATTTTATAGGATGAAAATGTATGTATAGGAACGCGAACAGGAAGTCAAACAAAGTCACCCGAGGGTTTCCAAGTCTTTATAGGGTTTTCTCTTTTAACGGGAGGACCGTGTAGTGTGGACACTGTAATGTCTCAACTGATAGCTTCGCTTATATAGGCCTTCTTAATCCAACGTTCTCAAAAGCAATCAATGTTCTGACTGCACAAAACCCTTATAGCTTATATTCTTATAGCTTATATAGGTCCCTGAGATCACTGCAATTGTAACTTCAAAAGCTTTATAGATTCTTTGTAGCAAAACCTCTAACTGAGTGTCTTTTTATCAATTGGCCCTATAGGGAGACAACTACTACTGTAGCGGTCGCCGAAGTGGGGGGTTGCGTGAGCTACTGTAATCTAACGAAAACTCCTACCTATATACTATTTGGAAAGCTATAAATAAACAAATGATCGAGAACTAGGGTTTAGGGTATGTAAGATTTATAAGTAACAGTCATTATAGGCTTGGCAAAGAGGGCTTGGCGACTCCATTATTCGCACGTGTTCCGTGTTTTCCTGTCCGGATAATTGTATAGGATGCTCAAACTGAGCTCGGAGCTTCGTTCCGGGTCCTATAGGCTTGGATGCCGCTGGGTTGCAGAGTCTAGACCATCGCGAGAGATTCGCTATTGGCCCTTCCTATACCATGTGTTTAACTCGGCTCTACAGCAATTCGGATGCAGGTTTTCCCTATAGTTCCCTTTATGGGTTCCGTAGTTCAAAGTGAACGGGTGCAATTTGGTAACCGCCGGACTTTGGAAGTCCACCCTATATGTTCCGTGTCGGATTTACTCGGTCGGCTGATCCCTATAATGTCATGACCTCATTGCATGTGCTCCTATAGCCGGTTCGGGCCATAATAGGAGACTTGTTGTATGTCTTTTGTGAATATAGGACGTGTTTCTGCTTCAAATGCTTTGCTCCTTGATTATAGGACTACGTTCATGTCTCCTATAGATGCTACTCTGTGTTGTGTAGTCCATCTTGGATGTCACGGAGGGTAAGATAATGATTATAGAGGCCCTCATTTGTAAAGGTACCATCTATAAGACAATGTCTAGGTACTCTTTGACCATAACCGAGTTTCCTATAGCCTATATGTCGGAGTCATACAGACTGTTAGGGATCCTGCCGTCTATAATACTCTTATAGGAATTGCAAAATAACATGCTTCAAGGCTGCGATTATAGATGGTGTATCATCGCTGTTTAATGTTCCACTTACAGAGAATTTCTTCTGTTCCTTCAATTGAAGAACATGGGTTCTGTCACGCCTACCGTGTTGGGTCAGTCCTCCGGATCCGTGGCTTCCGACTCTGCTTCTGGGGGCGATCTTGCCCCGGCTGTCGTTGGTTCGGTTATATCCTCTGCCTCTGGGATCGATAAGCCTGGTGCGCCTACGGGCACTGTTGCACGAAAGGGTTAGGTGGCAAACGCAAGTCTAACAATGCTTCACAAGTCGTACTGCAGGAGAACAACATTATTTGCGTCGGGTGAGCGTCACATTTTCAGTGCATTACCTATAAATGTTTCTTACCGTAATCCCAGTGCACTTCCAGATATTGACGAGACTTTCGATCTAGCTCTCCAGGACCCTATGCTTGTTGACCGCTATCCTGATTTGCCGAATCTGTGGTGAGCTTTTGTCGTCCGCTATTTTATTGATCTTGCCCTTACCAACAGTTATTTAGGTCTGCAACCGTATTGTCCTGGAGCAGCAAAGTCGGACCTGGGTACATGCTGCTCAGCAATTGGCTCCAGGTCATTGATTACCTCCCTGAGGAGTGAGTTCTGTCGCATAAATTTGCTTCTTCCACTAACCTCATTTATCAGTGAAGTTTTCATGCTTTTTGATTTCGTTCAACGAGGGCGCTACGTCAATCCCGCTAGAATCAATCCCAAGTTGCTACAGGCTGTCATGCCTATCTACATCAAGAATAAATTTCGCTACACAGTTTGCGTTGGGGAGACTCCTGCCATTCTCATTTCCACTGGGATGTGCGTTCAATCCTCTGTCACTCAGCACTGTCGGCAGCCGTCCGTCGCCGGATACTCCTTCTCTCCGATTCGTTACCATGCGACCCCATGCGCAGGAAGGAGAGCGCACAGTTGGTTGTATTGCGATGGTCTTTAACGAGCGGAAATTCCACCTCCAAATTGACGCGGACGTAATCATATTTGGATCCTTGTCGTACAAGCCCGTTTCTCGTGGTGAACTCTTCCTCTTATTTTTTGGCCCAACTTTCACTTACTTATTTATTCAGAACAGTCCAATTCGAAGGCACTCGCTATTTCTGGGGTGCCTAGCCCTTCTTCCCAATTGGGTACCTCTCGCAGGACTGACGACACCGGTTTCAAGACTGTTCTTGGATGTGACGATGACAGTGAGTCCAATCTATCCATTTGCATCTATCGCATTCTGATTCCATATTAGTTCCCGTCTACGATGGCCGTCATACTCCCTTCGATCTTAACAAGGACGTCGAAAATTTGGCGGCTGTTTTGCCCAAATACGAAGGGACGGAAGATGGGGAGGTTATTCCCGGGTCCTTCATAGCTGTCGCCTACACTGCGACCTTGTACAACAACAAGGATCGCTCGGTCGCTGTGAGTTTCAACATTCAGTGGGTTATTGTTATGGGTGAACCCAACAACGAGTAGATGGGTTTTATTTTCCCTTCAGTTCTCTTATCTTGCCTTTTCCCCCTCCATACGCACGCAAACCATATACAACACCGTAAAATTAGTCTGTAAATTCCCAAAAACATGTCATTATATATCAAATATTAGTGCTTTTGTCTTTTCTTATTCGGCTTTGCGATCTTGATACCTTACGTTCCTGTGAGCACTCTTGTCGGCTTTGCTATTTTGAAAGTTTCCGCGGATCAATATGTCGATCAATATTTGATCGCATCGGATTAGCATCTCACCATTTGCCTCCGTCTCTGACCACTTTGGCAATTTTGAGCCGGTCACCACTGTTTATTGGACTAGGCCATATCTTGCTCAACAAGTTCTTTTCATCGCTTGACAATGACTTTACTGCCTTCATTTACGCTGTCTATGACGATCATTCGACTGAATAGGGTTAGTGTTAGCAGATTAGCGGGCGGGACGTATGGTGCAAATAGGAAATACATAAATGTTCGAATTAATTGGCATCCTCATGGCGGCACGCACCTGTGGTCGGCCGGTCCCAAATAAACCGGATAATTGTGTTTAATTGATCATTTCCATCCGTCAGCAGCTCCCAAATGAAGTGCAAATAAAATACCGGGAAAAGAATTAAGTACGAGTTCATGCCGGGCGCAGCCACGGCCCTTTACCCCAAGTAATTATCCTACTTACAGATCTCATTTTGCGTCCCACTGCTCTGTATATTCCCAACCCCGTAACATGCGGCTGGGTAGGAGACTGGCCGAGCACTTGGTATATGCCTTGGGGAGGATTCGAACCTCCGTCTTCCCGGTTATATGCAACTCAAAGTCAAATAACTAAGTAGGGATGATCTACTGATTGATCTACCGAGGCTTATTGCCTGCCTTCCGAGGTTGGATATGCGCGGCAAATCTTTGTTGTTTTCTTTTCAGCCTTGTTGATCGACTGAAATCTCAGGGAAAACGAAATTCAATGAATGGGGCTCCAATTGCTTTGGAAATTCTGCATGATGTAGATGAGACTCGGACTGGTGTATTTCGCATGAAAGATGGAGAAAAGATAAGGCAACAACAAAAAGTCATCCACGATGACTCGGGGAGGATTCGAACCTCCGCCTTCCTGTATATTCTCTGAAGAACGAGCTATAAAGCTGGGATGATCTGCCAATTGATCCACCAAGGCTTTATTCTCTGTTTTTCGAGGCTGGGTGTGTGCAGTGAATTCTGTGCGAGCTGTAGACCTGAGTGACTCAACCATCGGAATTAATGAATGAAGTTATCGCGGACTCTTTCCTAGTTCTAGTCACTCACGTCCTTCAGTGGATAGAACCGCACGAAGTTGATGTAAAATTGATGCAGAAAAAACTACATAAGGTGAGGGAAAAAGAGGCATACGACATAATTATGCCTCGGGAGGGATTCGAACCCTCATCTTCCTATGATCTCATATGTCTTCTTTGGTTTTTCATATATGGAGAAGAGATGATCAACCAGCGATCCACCGAGGCATTCCTGCTCCTATTTGAGGACAGGTGTTGTAAGTGCGAAAAGAGGTTGCAAATAGACCGCCCCGAATAAAATATCAATCAGTCAGTGTGAGTTTGAGTTCAAGTGAAGTTTATCTGGGTTGCGCAGAAAAGAATGAGTATTGTACAGGAAGGTGGTTACTTTACAGCGAGAAAATAATCCGCGTAATGTGTTGCATGAAAAAAAGTGGGAATATCCCCATTTTGCCTCGAGAGGGATTCGAAGGGCCCCATCTTCCCGCTGTAGAACTCTCACTGCGTTGAGGCCCACAGGGTATGACTACATGGGTAGACCACCCTGGTAGACACAGGTGTATGACTACCTGTGACTACCCGTGTCAATCCGACTCGATGCTGGGTAGTCTACCCAGGGTAGACCATGGTGGTCTACGTTGGGCAAGCTTGGTCTACGTTCGTGTAGCCGCGTGTACTCAGGGTAGACTAATGTAGAATAGTTGGAGAATGGGGTAGACACAGCTTGCAGACGAGTGTTGAGCATTGCCACCGCAAAATGAGTTGAAATTGAGGCTTCTGCAAGGGGCCGTCGGAATTCTAAATATGGATATAGGGTAGGGGGAGGGGGGGGGGGGGGGGGGGGGTCCCAGTTGAGCCCAAAACCTTTTTCACCATATTTCTACTCAGTCAACTACGAATTTAATGTTGAACCATTGCAGAAAAAACTACATAGGGCGAACAAAAATCGGGGAGCGAAACTTCCTGGTGCCTCGGGAGGGATCGTCGTCCCATGATAGTCTTAACTGAAAAATACCTCCAAAATGGAGAAGGGATGATCTACCAACGATCCACCGAGGCGTTCTTGCCCTCATTTGAGGATAAGTGTTGTAAGTGCGAAAGGAGGTTGTAAATAGACCGCCCTACTCTTATTTCAGGTCGGGTATTGGCTGTATTGCAAGTGCGGCTTTTAATGAGTTAGACCGCCCGGAATAATAATATCAATCAGTCCGTGGTTTGCATAAATTCAATGTATAAATTTTATCTGGGTTGTGAGTGGGGAAATGTGTAGTGTGTAAATAGAGATGGTTATTTTAAAGCGAGAAAATCATGTCAGGTGTAAGCTATGAAAAAAGACTTCGCGTCCGCCTATGCCTTGGGAGGGATTCGAACAACCTTGTCGACCACTGACCAAATATATCGTGGTGAAGGGAAGAAATGCACTCAATCTTCCATATTCAAGTTTGCACAGTTCTACACATGTAGGGACGCACAGACTGGCATGTTTTGCACGATGGAGAAAAAAAACTTGAAGCAAGAACAAAAAGTCATCCACCGAATTGATGCATGCCTTGGGGAGGATTCGAACCTCCTTTTTCCCACGTACGGCCCTCTCCGATTGTATTAGGTAGGGATGATATACCAATTGATCCACCAAGGCTTATTCTCCATATTTTGGAGGTTCAATAGGTGCAGTCATTTTTATGCGGGTCCCCTACCTTTGCTTCAGCCATCACCATGCGAATTAATGAAATAAATTACCGCGGATTCGCCTTTGTTCTCCTAGTTCTACTGAGTCAACTACAGAACCGTACGAATTTAACGTTGAACCATTGCAGAAAAACCTGCACCAGGTGAGGAAAAAAGAGACAGGCTTATTACCACGTCATGCCTTGGGAGGGACTGGAACCCTCGTCTTCCCATGATCTCATAGTCCAAATCCCTGAAGAGAACGGAGAAGGGATAATCTACCAACGATCCACCGAGGCGTTCGTGCTCTTATTTGAGGATAGGTGTTGTATGTGCGAAAGGAGGTTGTAAATAGACTGCCCCGAATAGTCAGTTCAAGTGAAGTTTATTTGGGTCGCGCGCAGAAAAAGATCTATATTGTACAGAAAGGTGGTTACTGCACAGCGAGAAATCAATCCGTGTAATGTGTTGCATGGAAAAAAGTGTCTGTCCCCTGCCTCGAGAGGAATTCGAACCCCCATCTTCCCGCTGTAAAACTGTTACTGGCTCAAGTAACAGGGACGATCCACCATGATCCACCGAGGCTTTCCTGCATCATCTATATAATAGATATGTGTGGCGCTTAGTATACGTTAATACCTCACCATTGAAACTTGAACCAAGCCCGGCAACTTCCGGCCTCCCAACCAATCATGACCAAATCAAGCGCGGCTAGTTCTTTCTCTCACCCAGTGAGACTGATGTCGATGTCGACGATATCCAGTCCCGGCCCTGTGCCGCTCGCCTTTCCGCGCCCCGCCTCGCCCACAAAGTCGCCGACTACATCCCGTTTTCGGGAGAATGGCACCAATAGCTTGCCAATAGCACCACGAATATGAATAGCTCGCCCACGCCCCCGCCCGCAGCGCAGCACCCTCAGTGTGGCGCGCTTCTTCGTCCTTTTTTTCGCGCTGTCGACGTACCGTCCTCCTGCCAATCGGGAGCCGCCCAGCCCATAGCCGAATCATCCACTGTTGCCTTTCGTGTCGTCTGCGGTGCGGGCGGCTGATACGTGCGATGGTGCCGGGTTCCTTCTTTCTTTATCTCTTCACGCGCATCGCCACGTCCTCGTCCACCTTTGCATCCTTCCGCACTCCGTCCGTCCTCCGCACCCCCGTCCTCGCATCCCTCCTTCCCCCTATCCATCCACCCTTGCTTTGCCTTGCCTTCCCTTCGTCCCTTCATCTACTTCGCTTTCCTCCCCTTCCTCACCTCCACCTCCACTCTCTCGCGCGTATGGTGGTTCCCTAACACCCGCTTCTTTTCCCCTCCTTTCCCTTCCCTTCACTCACTCCCTGCCCCCTTCCTTTAACTTCGAGGCCTCGACAGCGTCGGTGGTGACGTCGGCCATTTTCGCACTCCCGGCTTGCTTTGCTCCGACTCCTTCCTCGTCGTCCGTTGCTTTCTCGCCCCGCACCTCTTCCTCTTTTTTTTTTCATCTCCACCTCATTTGTCAACCACACCTCCACTCGCCTGCGCGTTGGACCTGTTCCGTTGCTTCTCCCTTCCTTCATTTGCTCCTCTGCAGCCACGCGTCTTTGGCTTTGATGGCGCAGGCCTTGGCTCCGAGGGCGTTGGCGGGCTCCGCCTGCCCCCTCTCCTCCTTGTCCGCTCACTCGCCCCGCATCTCTTCTTCTCTTTCCCTTCCCCCGTTTCCTTTCCTTCCTTCCAGGCGACCCGCGCCGTCACCGTCGCCCGCGTCTGCCACGTTCCTCTTCCCTCCCCGCCCTTTCCTCCGTCTTCCCGCACTGCTGCACAAGGCTTCGATACGCACGGATACACGAGGCTTCGATATGTACGTACGAATGGGCCATGGACATCTCGCGTTTCCGGCAGTTTGGCATACCCACGGGTGACGCATTGGCGCTGCTCGTGGCCCGTAGAAAGTCGGAGAGTCGGTTTCTATGTACGTAGCAGTGCTAGTCAGCCACGTTCCATTTTCATCCCCCCCGCGCGCACACTCCATTCTTTATACTGCTGTATCGGCATGCAATATATTGGTTTAGAAGCTCTATTTTTGGTTGGAAGCATGAAGTGATGAGCATATAACAGCTTCCCTGGCAGCTCGACAGCTCAAAGAGCGCTGAACGTCCTTGCCTTCGTCCACCATGGCCGATCCCCTCAGTATCGTCTCTGGCATCCTCCAGCTCATGTCTACAGTCAATTCCACTATCAGTATGCTCAGTGATGTCGCCAATGCTCCGAAAGAACAACGCAATCTCTTCGCGGAAGTCGGAAACCTCGAGCCGCTGCTCAAGAGCTTTGAAGGCCGCTTGCAGGCCAATCCATCGGTTTGTGGAATGTTGGGCCTCAAGGATCCCTTGGCTCAATTCAAGGATACGATGGAGCATGTGATGGCTAAGCTGCGATCGGCCAATAAGCCGGGGTCGAGAATTCCGAAAGCCCTGAGCTGGACATTTGGTGTGTACATATCTCCCCAAGGAAAGGAAAACAAGGATTTAGTTGATATTAGGGATGCTGGCCAGCAGCAGCAAAAGAATTATGAATGTGAGTGAACTTTATGCAACAAGTGTATAAATTGGAGACGACTCACATTTGAGCAGGCACTGAAACTGAGCACACGGCAGAAGAACGCAAGAAGATTATTGAATGGATCTCGCTGCTGAATTTTTTTCAGCGGCACGACGATATATTGTGTGCTCGACAGGAAGGAACGGGCCTATGGTTATTGGAGGAGGCTAAATTCAAAGACTGGGTCTCTGGAGCCGGCGCAATTTTCTGGTGCTATGGAATGCGTGTGTAACTCATTTAGCTCTATTTTTCTCATGTTGATTCAACTACAGCTGGGGCGGGGAAAACCGTGCTTTCGTGAGTACTTTTCTATGGCTGATGATATTTATTCAACCTCCAATAGATCAGCTGTTGTCGATTATCTTCGGGAGAAATCTCCGAGCCCGAATATCGGGGTTGCCTGTGCATACCTGAACTACAAGGAGACGGATATGCAATCTCCCGAAAATATTCTAGCAGGCCTTTGGTGGCAGCTCATATTTGCAAAGCCCATTCTCCCAAGTTCTCCAGCACATTCACTTTATCACAAGCATCTTGAAAAGCAAACATGACCCTCCATTGATGAGATGCATGTGATTCTTTCCTCTGTGGTGGCAGATTACTCCAAGGTGTATATTGTCATTGATGCCCTTGATGAATATCCGGAGACCAAGCGCCATGCACTGCTGAAACACCTGGCAGCACTCAAGCCTAACATCAATTTACTCTTTACTTCGCGGCCCCATATCACTCCGGAGATATTCTTTCCTAATACACCAGCTCTCGAGATCCGGGCAACAGAGGAGGATATCCACCGATATCTTGATGCACATATACAGAACTCATTTCGATTGTCAAAACATATCCAGTCCCGGCCAGAGCTACACCAGGAAATTGAGAACCAAATTATTGGTAATGTTGATGGAATGTAAGTGCTGCTGTTTATTCATTGATAGATGTTCCAACTGACTCAACAATCTTGAAGGTTCCTGCTTGCCAAGATCCACATCAACTCTCTCACAACAAGAAACACAGTCAAAGCTGTTCGCCAAGCTCTAAAAAGTCTGCCAATAGATTTGGAGGATACTTATAAAGAAGCAATGGATCGCATTGAGTCCCAAAGCGAAGAGGACAGAAACATTGCCAAAAGAATTCTCATCTGGATTGCAAATGCCAAGAGGCCACTCTCTGTTGCAGAACTCCGGGAAGCCATTGCTATTGAGCCAGGCACAAAAACACTTGATCAAGATGGTCTTCTTGACCCAGATATCTTCCTTTCTGTCTGTGCTGGGTTGGTTGTTATCAACCATGCAGATGGTAGTGTTCGATTCATCCACTATGCCACTCAGGATTATATGGATTGTTTGCAAACCAGTAAATTCCCATATGCGCAGACAGAAATCACCTGTGGATGTCTCACATACCTCTTGTATGATGACTTCCTGCAGCTACCAGATTCATTTGATGAGCTGGATGCATTGGTGCAAGAACATCCGCTACTGGATTATTCATTCCGCTATTGTCTTGTTCATTCTGTGGGGCAGCCTGAGCTCATACTCCGGAATATGATCCTGGCATTCCTGGCCCATGCCTCCAGATGGCTCTCGAAATTCTGGCCATTGGTTAGACTTAAGCGGGACACTCATTCCTCCTGGGACATATACAACAATGATTTCAATGCCTCCACAGACCTTTTATTTTCTGCACTGTTCAACTTGCAGGAAACAGCAAAATATCTTTTGGCCAATTATATATCCATCCGGGACCCACACAAGGGGCAGTCGCTCATTGGTGCAGCACAATCTGGCAGCTTGGGAATGGTCCAGCTCCTCATCAGTCAAGGTGCCAACGTGAATGCACAGGGTGGATATTATGGGAATGCATTGCAGGCAGCATCACAGGAAGGACATGAAGCAGTGGTCCAACTGCTCCTCAATCAGGGTGCCGATGTGAATGCACAGGGTGCATGGGACTGCATTGCAGGCAGCATCAGTGGAAGGACATGAAGCAGTTGTCCAGCTGCTCTTCAATCAGGGTGCCAATGTGAATGCACAGGGTGGGCATTATGGGACTGCATTGCAGGCAGCATCAGTGGAAGGACATGAAGCAGTTGTCCAGCTGCTCCTCAATCTGGGTGCCAATGTGAATGCACAGGGTGGGCAATATGGGACTGCATTGCAGGCAGCATCAGTGGAAGGACATGAAGCAGTTGTCCAGCTGCTCCTCAATCAGGGTGCCAATGTGAATGTACAAGGTGGGCATTATGGCACTGCATTGCAGGCAGCATCAGTGGAAGGACATGAAGCAGTTGTCCAGCTGCTCCTCAATCAGGGTGCCAATGTGAGTGCACAGGGTGGGCGATTTGGGACTGCATTGCAGGCAGCATCAAGGACTGGAGATGAAGGAGTTGTTAAGCTGCTTATTGATCAAGGGGCAGATGTGAATGCACAAGGTGGGTATTATGGAAATGCATTGCAGGCAGCATCATACCGAGGACATGAAGCAGTTGTCCAGCTGCTCCTCAATAGAGGTGCTGATGTGAATGCACAGGGTGGGTATTATGGGCATGCATTGCAGGCAGCATCAGTGGAAGGACATGAAGCAGTTGTCCAGCTGCTTCTCAACAGGGGTGCTGATGTGAATGCACAGGGTGGGCGATTGGGGAATGCCTTGCAGACAGCATCTTTTAATGGAAATGCAGCAATTGTCCAGTTTTTCATTGATCAAGGGGCCGATGTGAATGCACTGGGTGGGGTATCTGGGACTGCATTGCAGGCAGCATCATACCGAGGACATGAAGCAGTTGTCCAGCTGCTCCTCAATAGAGGTGCTGATTTGAATGCACAGGGTGGGTATTATGGGCATGCATTGCAGGCAGCATCATATGAAGGACATGAAGCAGTTGTCCAGCTGCTTCTCAACAGGGGTGCTGATGTGAATGCACAGGGTGGGCGATTTTGGACTGCACTGCAGGCAGCATCAACAAATGGACATGAGGAAGTCATCCAGCTGCTGCTTGCAAATGGTGCTTTGCC